CCTGTCCCTAATCCAATCCCTGTCCCACCCCTGCAGTGCCAGGGCTCTGTGCATTGTTGCCTTCATCCTCTTCTTCCTCTTCCTCACCTGTGCCCTACCTAGCGGGGGTGCAATCAGCTGAGGCTGTCTGGCCCCTCCCTGGGCTGGGCCTGGCTATAAAACCCAGGGGCCAGGCAGAGGGTGTCACAAGGATCTGGGAGCTGTTGGCAGGTGAGTCCGGGGGTGCCAGGGCTGAACTTGGGGGGTTTAGTCTGTTGGATGCTGCTGCTATCCCTGGGCTGGAGATGGGATCCTGCTTGGTTCCCACAGGACTCAGAGCTGGGTCTGGATTTGGCCTCGCCACAATGAGTTTTGGATTATGCTTTTTGGGGCACAAGATGCCACAGAGTAGGTTTGGGGGGCACAGCCTTGGGCACAACATGAGGTGCAGAGGGGGCTGCTGGTGTGTACGAGGGCTGTTCCCATGGGACACCTCAAGTGCTGTGTCTGGGTGACGCTGGAATGGCCCCAGCTGGACATGGGGAGCAGAGGGGTCTGATGAGGGGCAAAGGGGCCATTCCCGTGGGATATCCCCCTCCTGTGTGGGTGGTGTTGGGATGGCTCTGTGGGGCAGGTGGACATGGGGAGCAGGAGCTGCCATCCGTGTCCCAGCCACCAGGAAATGGTGGTGGTGACCCTGGTGACATAGCCTTGAGTCACACTGGAGACTGCAGGTGACAGACAGCCCATGTCCGGTACACGGGCTGGGAGGGATGCTTGGAGAGAGGCAGCCCAGTCCCTGAACCGCCCCATCCCTGTCCCCAGACAGCAGCAGCAGCAGCGATGGCAACACTCTACCCCTCCCTGGAGGACATGAAGGGCCACCAGGTCCTGCAGGTCAGTGCCAGCTCAGCAGCGTTACAGGGGTGAGCAGACCCCCATGGGGCCCGGTGGGGTCCCACCTCAGAGGGTCCCCAGGCTGGGGACACAGCATTGAGCACGCTGTCTCTTGGCAGGCACAGGCAGCAGCTGGGGTGAGGACCCCTGCCACCACAGTGGCCACAGAGAAGCCAAAGCTCACCTCTGCCACCACAGCGGCCACAGAGAAGCCAAAGCTCACCTCGGGCACTGGTAAGGTGGGACATGATCAGCTCACCCTGTGCAGGGGCTCTCTGGGTGGGCAATGATGCTCAGTGTGGGGAGGGCTCAGCTGAGACCCCCCCACAACTCAGTGCATGGGTTGAGGATGGGATTTTGGGGTCTCTTTTTGCTGGCCCACGGTCCCAGGGGGCCTCCTGGGGTGGAGGGGGCCATGGCTGTGGGTTGGGGGCCCCAGGACCTGAGACCACCCTCGGTATGTCCCTCAGAGCCTCCTGTGCTGTACCCCAACCTGGCCGAGCTGGAGAACTACATGGGGCTGGCGCTCTCCAGCGAGGAGATCCAGAAGAACCTGGGCACGGAGGACAGCACCGTAGGTGTCTGGGCTGGCAGCTCCCTGCCCCTTGTGGCTCCCCGTGCCTGAACGGGGCTCCCTTGGGTTCCTCACCCTGCCCGAGAAAGGCATGCAGCCCTCCCAAAGGGGGGCTGAGGTGTCCCCCTGTCCCCGCTGACCCGCAGCTCCCCCCCGCAGGNTATCCAGTTTATTATCGCAATAAAAACGCTTTATGCTGGCTTTTCTCAGCCCTGTGTCCTGAGGTTCTTCCCTCGCTCGTCTGTCGCTCAGCACAGCAGGGGCTGGGCTGGGCTCAGGGGATGCTGTGTCAGGCTCATGGGGTGCTTTGGGTGCTGTGCCAGAGTCACAGGGTGCAGTGTGCCAGGCTCACGGGGTGCTTTGGGTGCTGTGCCAGGATTGCAGGGTGCAGTGCCAGGCTCACAGGGTGCTTTGGGTGCTGTGCCAGACTCATGGGGGCTTTGGGTGCTGTGCCAGGCTCACAGGGTGCTTTGGGTGCTGTGCTGGGGTCACAGGGTGCTGTGCCAGGCTCACAGGGTGCTTTGGGTGCTGTGCCAGGGTCGCAGGGTGCAGTGCCAGGCTCAGGCAGTGCTGTGCCAGGGTTGTGTTGCTGTGCCTTGGTGTCAGGCTCAGGTGCTGGGGAGCACAATAGGGTGCCTGGGGCTCCTGTGCTCTGTGGGGAGGTGATGGTGGCCTGCTGGAATTTACATAATTAATTGCCTCACCATAACCTATTCAGCATTGCCCTCACGGCCTCATGCCCTTGTGGCTGTGACTCAGCCTGGACTGGATAGATGGGTGCATGTTCTCATGGTCCTTGTGGCTCCAGGGAAGCCTTTCCTTGCACCTTTCTGGATTTATTTCAGTGCTTTTTGGAAGCTGGACATGGCACCTGGGACACAGCACATCACCTGCTTTGGGCTTTGCTGCTGCCCTGTGGGTGTTGTGTGTGTAGGACCTGCTCAGGGCCAGTGCCTGGTTCCTCTGCTGACAACCTTTGATCAGTGTGCCACAACTGATAACACAGCCACGATCAATAACAGCCTGTACCAGCTGCCAAGCAGTTTGTGTGTAATGTGTCCTGGAGGGAGCAGTGGCCCTGGGGCAGGAGCAGCTCAGCCATTGGGATCCATCCAGGAGCACTGGTGCCTGCACAGGGCCCTGCAGGAATGAGCACTGCCCTTAACTGCAGCTCAGTTAAGCAGAACAGGAGCTTGTGGGGCACCAGCACCCTGCTCTGTCCTTTGCTGTGGCCGTTTCTGGCTGGAAGCTTGAGGCCAGTTTGTGTTTCTCTTCCTGCAAAGCTTTTTGCTTTAATTATTAACCAATGCCAGGCAGTGCCATGGCTTCTGGCTGGGGCTAAGCCAGGGCAGGGGGGAGGCTGAGGGAAGCCCCCTGCCCTTGGGCCCTCAGCTTCTGCTCAGCTCCGGAAGCATCCATGAGCGCAGGTGGGGTGTGAGTCCCCACAGCTGTGGTTTTGTGGGGATGAGGGTTTAGGAAATGAACAGACTCCAGGAAACAATCCTCCCTGTCTGTGTAGGACTCTCCCTGCCACTGGCACTGTTCTTGTCCTGGGCTGGTCAAGGCAGCTGGGCGCGATCCAGCTAAAAATACCAGCAGTAAATAAAACACTTCCTCCTGGCCTGGCACGCTGGAGCGGAGGCACAGGGAGCTGGGACGTGCCTGGCTGCGGCTCCACAGTGGGACTGACCCCGTGCCAGGGAGCTCTGGGCTGGTGCCACCAGGTCCAGGCCTGCCTGCATGCCCTCAGCACCCCTGGGGACGCGGTGGCCCATGGCACCCTCAATGCCAACAGCAGAATGTCACTGCTGGAGGGCTGGATCCCCAGGTGACATGGTGATGGCCCACAGCAGCAGGATGCCACGGGCACCCCAGCTGAGCTCTGTGCTGGCTCAGTTTCTCCACCGGCAGCATGGGACTCCCACGGCTGGCACGTGTCCCAGGTGACGTGGGGAAGGGTGTGGGACACGGGATCGCGGGCACGGCCGCGTCAGC